ATTTTAATGGAGTTCTTTAGGATGCGGAAGCAGTGAAAGAAGTGAGGAGTGCGACGATTCCAAGGACGTATGTGATAATCCATCCATTAATCATCAAAAGGTATGTATAATTGACTCAACTACCGTAATCTTACCATAACTACATTGTTTGTGTCCAGGAACATACTTTACGTATGCTCTGCCAAAGGATTGGAACACCAGCTGACGACAGCACTCACCTGTCATCAGTCGACCAGACAGCAGACGCTGAACGTCTTGTCAATTACATTCAGTCACTAGAGGGACGTATAAAGCAATTGGAGAGGGCCAGCCAACAGACTGTGAGCGAATCCTGATTGTTTCGGAAGTTGGAAAACTCACAAAATTTGATTTTTAGGGTCTCTGGCATTCTGCATGTACGTTACTATCAGAAAGCGATGAGAAGACGATCATCGATAGATGCGATGAGCTTTGTAATGAAACGAATTTGGAAAAAGTTGCCCCCCTAAATCATAAGGCTATGCAAATATCCTCTTGTAGTAGGTTTTCTGTTCATATTTACTGTTTTTTGAAAGCATAGTTTCTCTTAAGGTACAATGACCACTTCTGGAACAACATATGCGAGTTCAGAGACAGACATGGAGAGCGCCGTCTATGTAATGGGCGATGAGACTGGTAAGACTTTTCTCCCCTCAAATTTTTTGGAATGACCCCAAAGAATCCACAGAGTTACATAAAAGGCTCACGTTATTTCGGAAAAAGACTTCTATATTCACCTTTACTCGATTTTTTGTTTTTATCTTTACAAGAATTTTTGAAGATCGGCAGATGTATAATGGAAAAAGCTTAATTTTTGGTTTCTCAACTTTCCCATTTCACCTCTCATCCTCCTACGTCACTCCTCTCGCTTGTATGAACCTGAATCCTATCGAGCCCCTCAAAGACCATTGGGAATAAGAAAAAGGTCTTCTTTATCTGATCTTGAATCTCTGGATTCTCTATCCTTCTCACCCCTTTTGCGAATGATGGTTATGATGCAAATTGCCGGTGCCGTAGCATTACGGTAACACGACAGTAATTTTTCATGCACAAAGTAAATATGGTTATCCTAATAAGTGCTCCAATAACCGCTTGTGCGCAGAAATCGGAAGGGAAAGAGGGAAAGAGGTGGTTTGCAATTTTTCTAAAAGGGCCACTTTCTAGGAATTAAGTTATGGCTCAACGGTAGATTTCATTAGTGGGTTAGGCTTAGGTTTAACCAGTTGATATCACTGTGTTAGGTTTAGCTCCAAATGATAGTTTCAGACGAAATTGGAGCACTAGAAGTGCGATCATTGACTCGAATAGAGGAAGATGGTGAAGACAAGGAGAAATCTCAAGATGATATTGA